CATGGATCAGGGGGAGTTGTGTCTACACACGGATATCTTTCACCATATTTGTCAATACTGGGGCAAGCCAGAAGTGGATCTGTGTCCAGACTCTGCCGTGAGTACTGTGAGGTGTCCGATTTCTACTTTAGCCACACTCTAACTTCCATTGGCTTCCTTTTTCATGGATTGTTCCTTCATCCAGGGGGTTATGTGAGGAGTTACACCTGCTGGATCTCCACTGACACTACAAATTAATCTAATCTTGTAAGCCCTGCAAAAGCCTCCATTTGGAACATCCAGCTCTTTCATATGAGCATCACTTTTTGTTACAAAGAGGGATAAGATGGTATTTCAGCCTTGGTTATCTGTCTGGTCAGTGCATGCTGAAGCACACACTTCATGTGGCCTTCAGATTAGCACAACAGTGCGTAGAGAGCATCATAGAATGAGTTTCCATGGCCAAGAAGCTGCATCCAAGCCTTATATCACCAAGTGCAATGCAAAGCGTCAGATGCTGTGGTGTAAAGCACACAGCCACTTGACTCTAGAGCAGTGGAGAAATGTTCTCTGGAGTGACTAATCGCGATTCTTTGGCTGGTGAATCGTTCGATGTATCTGGGTTTGGCGGTTGCCAGGAGAACGGTACTTACCTAACTGCATTGTGTAAAGTTTGGTGGAGGGGGGATTATGGTGTGGGGTTGTTTTTTCAGGGCTTTCAATGGCTTGACCCTTGGTTCCAGTGAAGGGAACTCTTAAGGTGTCAGCATACCAAGACTTTTTGGACAATTTTCATGCTCCCAACTTTGTGGGAACAGTTTGGGGGTGGCCCCTTCCTGTTCCAACATGTCTGTGCACCAGTGCATAAACCAAAGTTCATAAAGACATGGATGAGCGAGTTTGGGTGTGGAGGAGCTTGACTAGCCTGCAGAGTCCTGACCTCAAGCCAACAGAACACCTTTGGGATGAACTGGAGCGGACGCTGCGAGCCAGGCCTCCTCGTCCGACATCAGTGCCTGGCCTCACAAATGCGCTTCTGGAAGAATGGTCAAACCTTCCCATATTCTCGCTCCTAAACCTTGTGGACAGCCTTCCCAGAAGAGTTGAAGCGGTTATAGGTGCAAAGGGTGGACCAACTCAATGCTGAGCCCTATGGGCGAAGACTGGGATGCAATTAAAGTTCATGTGCATTTAAAAAGGCAGGCATTCCAATACATTTGGCAATATTGTTTGTATTCATGTATGTGTGTTTTATATATGTACAGTATACACACACACGCGTGTGTGTGTATATGTATATATATATATATGTGTGTGTGTGTGTGTGTGTGTGTGTGTATACAGTCATGGCCGAAATTGTTGGCACCCTTGATATTTCTCCAGGAAATCATGTATTTCTCACGAAACGTATTGCATTAACACATGTTTTGCTATACACATGTTTATTCCCTTTGTGTGTATTGGGACAAAACAAAAAAAGGGAGGAAAGAAAGCAAATTCGACATAATGTCACACAAACCTCCAAAAATGGGCTGGACAAAAGTATTGGCACCCTTTCACAACTGCGGATAAATAAGAATGTTACAAGCATGTGATGCTCCTGTAAACTCACCTGGGGCAAGTAACAGGTGTGGGCAATATAGAAATCACACCTGAAAGCAGATAAAAAGGAGAGACGTTCACTTAACCTTTGCATTGTGTGTCTGTCTGTGCCACACTAAGCATGGACAACAGAAAGAGGAGACAAGAACTGTCTGAGGACCTGAGAACCAAAATTGTGGCAAAATATCAACAATCTCAAGGTTACAAGTCCATCTCCAGAGAACTAGATTTGCCTTTGTCCACAGTGCGCAACATTATCAAGAAGTTTGCAACCCATGGCACTGTAGCTAATCTCCGTGGTCGTGGACGGATGAGGAAAATTGATGAAAGATTGCAACGCAGAATAGTCCGGATGGTGGATAAGCAGCCCCAAACATGTTCCAAAGACATTCAAGCTGTCCTGCAGGCTCAGGGAGCATCAGTGTCAGCGCGAACTATCCGTCGACATTTAAATGAAATGAAACGCTATGGCAGGAGACCCAGGAGGACCCCACTGCTGACACAGAGACATAAAAAAGCAAGACTACAGTTTGCCAAAATGTACTTGAGTAAGCCAAAAGCCTTCTGGGAAAACGTCTTGTGGACAGATGAGACCAAGATAGAGCTTTTCGGTAAAGCACATCATTCTACTGTTTACCGAAAACGGAATGAGGCCTACAAAGAACAAAACACAGTACCTACGGTAAAATATGGTGGAGGTTCAATGATGTTTTGGGGTTGTTTTTGCTGCCTCTGGCACTGGGTGCCTTGACTGTGTGCAAGGCATCATGAAATCTGAGGATTACCAAAGGATTTTGGGTCGCACTGTAGGGCCCAGTGTCAGAAAGCTGGGTTTGCGTCCAAGATCCTGGGTCTTCCAGCAGGACAATGACCCCAAACATACGTCAAAAAGCACTCAGAAATGGATGGCAAAGAAGCGCTGGAGAGTTCTGAAGTGGCCAGCAATGAGCCCAGATCTAAATCCCATTGAACACCTGTGGAGAGATCTTAAAATTGCTGTTGGGAAAAGGTGTGTCCTTCCAATAAGAGAGACCTGGAGCTGTTTGCAAAGGAAGAGTGGTCCAAAATTCCGGGTGAGAGGTGTCAGAAGCTTATTGATGGTTATAGGAAGCGACTGATTTCAGTTATGTTTTCCAAAGGGTGTGCAACCAAATATTAAGTTAAGGGTGCCAATACTTTTGTCCAGCCCATTTTTGGGGTTTTGTGTGACATTATGTCATATTTGCTTTTCTGCCTCTGTTTTATATTTGTTCCAATACATACAAAGGGAATAAACATGTGTATAGCAAAACATGTGTTAATGCAATACCTTTTTTGTGTGAAATACTTGATTTTCAGGAAAAATATCAAGGGTGCCAACAATTTCGGCCATGACTGTATGTGTGTATATATATGTATGTATGTATGTGTGTATATGTATGTACACACACACACACACACACACACACACACGTGTGGAGATTTCCCTGAGTCTTTTTCCTTCCTCCTCTTCATTCGTGGCTGTACAGTTTGGTCTTTCCAAAGGTCTTTGGCCCTATTCAGGGCCTCCTAAGGACCCAGGTGTGTTTGTTCTGGGGTACTTCTGCTTTTAAAGGAACAATACAGTGCACACTCTGGACACGTTTGGATAGGTCCACAATCTCCAGAAATCAGAAATTTGTTCCAGTCCAGTAGTTGAAATATCTGGCACTACCCCTGTCAGGCAAAGGAGATTCCCTCCAGAGTAATGCCTTACATTACAAAATCAGGTGGCTTTTCTGAGTCCTGAGGTATCCTTGATTTGTCTCTGCATTGAGTATTGGGCAAGATGGTGGCCTTTCAAGGCAGTTTCCTTTGTTCAGTTCCAGAACTCTGCAGCAGAATGTTCTGATGAGACAGGGGACGTGGTTGTTTGGTCTCTCCGCTGCCTTTGCATCCATGGTTCTCCAAAGGTTGTGATTGAGGTCTGTTCTCCCCCTTTTCTTGCAAGTTGTTGAGGCCAGACACCAGACTCACAGGTTAGGGAGGTAGTGCTTGATCACCTTTAGTACAGGGAATTTGGCCTTCACACCAGCTTGGCCCAGGAGAACATGATATTCTAACAAAGGGAACATGCTGGAGGACGCGGCAGATTTCCTTTGGAAAGGGCCAATCTTCCATCCTTTATTGAAGCCAGAATTTTGAAGGACAAAGGCGTGTCAGATGCAGTTTATCCCTGTGATTTTTGAGAACCAGGAAGGCTACTTCAAGGAAGATTACCATAGGATCTGGAAATCCTATGAGGCCTGGTGTGAGGCTCAGGAATTTCATCCTAACAAGTATGTTGTGGGCCATATTTTTGACTTTTCAGCAGTCGAGGATACATTTCAGCTTTATCATTTTCTCTTTGACTGCCATGGTTAGGAAATCAGGCTTGCTATTTGGGTCGTCTTGAATGGCCAAAGAATGTCACATGGCTATTTAAACCTACTAATTTAACATTGCATTCATCAGCTTTTCTTTCAGTGATTCAAGTCTGCAAGGCTGCAACATGGTTTTCAGTTCACTTTTGCAAGATTTTACTAGGTGGATGTAGGAGCTGCTGATAACGCTGCTTTTGGTCTGTGTTTTGTAGGCTGCTGCAGAAGTTTTTTGGCCCTTAATGTGCATTGCTTTAGGGTCATCCATGTAAGTAAGGTATAATAAGAGTAGTAGAGCTACTCTGTGTTCCAGAACAATCAAAAATCCATTTTTTTTTTGGGCCAATTTAACATGGCACCCAAGTCGACTTCAGTATACTGTGAATAGTGCAAAATAAATCTTTACATTCATTTTCTCCATTTTTTACTTTAAAAATGCTGCAAGTCCAGTAAAATGCCATTCTGCTATTCTACAGAACACCAGCCCCTCTCCTTATGTTCGTAACAAAAGGGAAGGTTTTCTGTAGTTCAGAAGATATTGGCTCTGGTGCAATGAAAAACAAAAGCAGCGGGATTAGCGCTGCCAGTTACCTGATCAAACAAAGCTCGGAGCCAGGTAGATTTTGCATGTGACCAACAAACATACAAAGCAAGGGGAAAATTTGCTCCAGAGATGTACGGATTTTTATTTTTGTCCAAACTTTCACTTAAACTTTTGTGGAGACTTTGGGAGTGGATTTAATGTTTGGTTTTAATCAACTGACATTAAGATTTGAGGTGAATATAGCCCTGCTGGGCTATCGTATTCTGGCAGTGGGGGGGATTGAACACAAACTTACTAACAAGCACGTTCTTGAGAAGTCAGTCATTAAATCAACTACTCCTGAACGTGAACAACCATAGATGGAACAAAAATTGTCCAGTCCCTGCTGAACCAGCTTAATTTCAGTCCATTTATGGCCAGCTTTAGTTTTACACCACCAAAACCACAGGTTCACTTAGACATGAGTTGTAGTCTAATCAGTATGTTTTCTGTTCCAGGGGTTAAAGACTTCCTTAGTGGAATACAAATCTTCCACATTCATCATAATCTGCCAGTTGGCAACAAAGTCGATTATAGCGCCTTCTCTGATAAATGCCCTGGCATCGCAGGTCAGTAGAACACTACTCAAAACTCCGTCTCTTCTCCGAGAAGGTGTGGGATGTCTAATTATACTTCTGCAGACTCAACAATCCTTGGATGTGGGAAAAAAGTAAGTGACCAGGTGTATAAAAAGTGTTTATTTCTATTTCTCTGTTGTTCATTAACTACTTGAACCAGCAAGGTATTTTTAGAGCTGATGGTCAGCTTAAATCAATAACCGCAATCTGAATGGCAGTCCTGGAATCCCCCTGCTGCTTTCGGGCTCTTTTGGGTTTTCCCGTCCCATTAGGAGACCAGCTGGTGCTTCCGCCATCTGACCATAGAGGTGACCAGAGACAGCAATGGCTCCGATCACCTCTTTGGAATAGGAAATTGGAAGCGATTAACATTTTTTAATGTAGATTTTACAGTTTTTTTTTGGAATTGGGGTTGTAAAGCCCCTGCAACAACCCTGCTTTAAATACAGCTGAAGCATGCCTGAAATGCTTGGAACTTGTGTTCCTAGACTACTTGTCACAGTAGTTGCTTTGGAGCTGCAGAGCTCTGGACCACTCTTCACAATGACTTCAACTACCTGGTTATGAAGACTGTTGGGGGGAGCACGGGGTGCAGTGGTCTCATGTTCCTGGCCATCATTGTAGGGGCTGAGCCTCTGCAGCAGTTGCGGACTTGGTGCCCCAAAGGTATTGTTGCAGGTCTAATGATATCCAGGTAGAAAAAGGGCCCATTCCTTGATCGCACTCAGGCGCAGTAGGCTCAATTCATGAAACTGTATCGACCGCTTTAACATCAACGGTAAAACTGCTCATAGCATTTTTTTTTTAAACCATTTTTTGCAATTCACTAAAAGCTATTAAAATACATCATGCACTGTTTCTTGAAGAAAGACTTGGTGGCCTGTGACAGCTACTTACTGGTAAGACCCCATCTTGCACCCTGCTTCTCAACCACCGGCTTTAACAGCATGGCTGCTGAAGCCTGGGTGCTGAGACAGCACATTGAGTAATTCTGTTATCCCTACTATATTGAAATCACTTAAATCTGTTTGGCTAAAAGTTTACCACCCAAATGTTGAAGGCTTACTTTGATGTAAGTCTTTAGAAGTTCACTTCTGTGCTTCTTGGTTGGAAGGGTTCTAGCATCCTTTACATGTAAAAGGTGCCTGGCCTTGACGGTGCTTTGCCAAATCAACTTCCAGGACAGAATGAGACTCTTACCTAAAACAGGAAACGCATCCACAATTAAGAGCTTAGTCACTTAGTCTCAATATTTGTTTCCTGTGGCCCAACAAAAACATCAAAATTATATTTTCCTTCAGGCCTTCATTCTAATTGCAAGGGCATCCCAGTATATGTTGCCGCATTTTCTAATGGACTTGGAAGCTTGCATCTCGAACTGGCCTTTCTCTAACATTAATCCATGACCGCAACCTTGAGCAGTGATTAGCTCCTTCTTAACAGTAAACACAATGAGACACATTGTGAAAACCCCACTCACACCCTTGTCCCTCAGTTTAGATGATATTTCCTAACTGCAAGGCAGCGTAAAACTTGTTCTGTTTGACGGATAGCCATTGGAACTTAGGGCTTCCTCCTGATGCTGATCTGTGAGGCTTTTCTGCAGTTTTTTTGTTCTGGGATTTCGACCCCCATTTCATGTAGGGTTTTAGACTCCTAAGGCAACCCTGGCTACGTTGCCTGTCGTCCTCTGCCTGGATGACATTCTTCTGTAAACTCCAATAGAAGAGGGCATTTTGGAAGACCTGCAGAAAGTAACCTTCACTCCTGAAAAGCTGGGTTGGCTCATCAACAAGCAAAAGTAATCTGGTTCCAGCACAGCCCATTTTTTTTTTTTCTTTAATTCAATCCACTCTAGTGAATAGGTTTTTTTTTTTTCCTTGCAAAGGTTCTGTCAATCACCACGCAGTTCAGCTCCCCTTGTAAAGGGCTTCACTACGTTGGTGGATAGATCCAGAGGGCAGACCTAAGCCCAGTGGGTGCCAGAAGGGCACAATAGAATCCAGTGCCTGGAGCTGGGGTGCCCATCTGTGGAAGTTGAGGGCACAGAGGGTGGATGTTTAACCTGGTCAGGTCCTCGTTGGGCTTTCAGGAAGATGGTCCAAGGTCAAGAGGGTCAAATGTTTTCATATGCTACAACTATAGCATAACTAAATCACCAAAGTGCTACCAGATCTCAAGAGCTGCTAGGGTTGGACCAAGAAATTTTGCAAGGGGTCCTTTTTTGATAGGAGGGAACCTTGTCGCAGCTCCCTGTGGAATATTTTCCCTGGGGTCAGTTTTTCCATGCAGGTTTAACTCCCTCCACCTATCTGGTACCATGCTGCATCCAGGGCACTTTTTTTCCTCCAGTCCCTGTGACAATTAAGAATTATCCATCACTGAGTTTCAACAGCAGCTTTCCAGAATACTTGCTGGTATGGACCGCTGTGGTCAAAACCTGAAGCCCTCCCCTTCATTATTGTGGAGGACAAAGTAGAGAGTGACAAACTTATCCCAAGAAAAGAGCACTGAAGCAGGGTTAGGCTCCAGAAGAACCCTAGGGTCAGCGTTATCTCAGACCAAAAAAAGACAGATTTTTTTTTTTTTTGTGTGTGTGGAAGTTGTCCAGAATAATTAAGTTTCTGCTTCGAGTCCTTCACTTCAAGGGTTACAGGATAGGAATCACTGAGTCTGCCACTGCATCCCCAGTCCTTCCCCGCACATCCTCATTTAAAGGATATTTTTTATGCAGACTGAGCTCACCCACAAAGTGTTCACCCTGTCAAACAAGGTCACGCACCAATACCACATGGAAAGTGAGTTCACAATAAAATCTAGTGGTGCCTTCAGTCTCTTATATCCATTAGGACCCTCATGTGCCCAGTGGACAAGGTCCCAGTATTTAAAGGGTTACTAAACCCACAACAGTAAAATCACTGTATATGCACTAAAGCATGCTCTTTATACTCACTTTGGAACCTAAAGGGTTAATCCTCTGCATTGTGTAAAAAAGGCTGTTTGATCCTGACTTCTCTGGTTGTCCTCTTGTTCAAATGTCCACATCTTATCTACTGATGAGACAGAATGAACTGTAGCCATTCTGCACATGCTCAGTTTAGTGTGTATTACTAGAGGGTTTTTTTTTTTTGGAAGAGTGCATGTGATCAGCACAGAGCCAATCGGCACTGTACAAACAGAGGTCCAGGGTTTTGCATCCTCCTGGAGCAGAAAGAAAACTCCTCCTGCAAGCTTTAACGAGTGCTCTGCTGAACACTGATAGAAGTCACAAGACTGCTCTATCTGCTGATGAGAAAAGGTATTTAGCAGTTTATATTTACGAACACTTCCATGTTCTGTGTACTGTGGGAGACCAGAAATATTGCATGCAGGCTCTTGGGTTTAGTAAGGATGCCTTGGAGAAATGTCTGGTGTCTTTATTCTAGGCATGCTGGTAGTAACAGCTTTTAGCCACCATCAATTGCAGCTGTTGTATGTCGAAGCCTTAAAGTCAGTGCTTGTCGCTTGACGAGAGAGGATTCTCTCCTCACAAATTTTCCTCCCTAAGGCTTTGATGATCTGAAAATTCTCAATTTTTTTTGCATGAGAGTTATGAGAAAGTTTGTAGTTTTTCTCTTTGGAGGAGTGCCCTTTGTGCAGATCTCTCCAACAGAATGTATCAGTGAAATGGAACAAGAGGATGCAGTTGGGATCCCTTGTTGCCGTTAATACCAAACACAAGATAGTCTTGTGACTGGTGAATTTCTACACTGATGTTGGAATTGGGAAAATTTGTACCTCCCTTTATCCTGTAGGATCCCGATGATGGTCACCAGCTTAACAGGCTGGGGAATTCTGGACAATGTTTAGGCCCAGGAAATCATTCTGTGTGGGAGGATCTCCACACTGATGAACTGTCCACACTGCATAGACCTTCTGGTCTCCAGGTTAAGTGCTAAGCTGGGCACGTTGGTCACAAGGACCAGGGATCCTTGAGCATTGTGTATATTCTGGTGACAACTCCAGCAAAAAGGCATAAGATCTTAAGGAAAATATACCGATCTTTTGAAGTGGTGTTCATACAGGAGACACATATATCCCAGGATTGAAACATTAAGTTATACTCTAAATATCTTCCCACCTGGTACTACACAGACCCACCAATAAGACGTTCAAAAGGGAGTGGCGATATAAAATTTACTCTGGACAAAAAGCTGGTAGACCCAGCAGGCCATTATTTCTAAGAGGGAATATGCAGGGAAGAGAGTGTACATTAGTGAATATATACTGCCTTAATAAAAGTCTGACACTATACTTGGAAGGAATTTTGGCAAAACTTAGACTTTAAAAGGGGTAGTGTGATTTGTGGCAGGTGATTTAAATTTTTGCATGGACCCAGGAATGGATCCCTCCTCATGCACCAGGGGAGAGAGAGAGAGAGAGAGAGAGAGAGAGAGAGAGAGAGAGAGGACTCGAAGGAATATTAATAAAAATAAAAAAATAAAAGGCTATATCAATGTCAGCTGATGGATGCTTGGAAGGTTGATCATCCAAAGGAAAGGGACTATACCTTCTTCTATGCGGTGCACAGCATGTATTCAAGACTGGATTATATGTTGATCAAACATATTCTTGGAGTCTTTGGTGAAAACTAATATAGATGTAATATATATCGGACCATGCTCCTGTTACAATGAGACTACGGTTTAGAGGGGAACAGAGTAAAACAAACATGGAGATTAAACGAGACTATCTTACAAAATCCGAAGGTGGAAATAAAACATTGCTGAAAGAGCTGATATCTGACTGGATACACTTAGACCAAGTGGGATTCGTCTCGGGTAGAGAGGGAAAAGAGAATAGCTTAAGAACATTACTTATTCTCCAAAAAAAAAAAAAAAAGAGAGGTTCTGGGAGTTTTATGATAGATTATACTGAGAACATTAGCAATCGGGCCTAGAATGATGCAGTGGATAAAAGAGCTATATAGGGCTCCCTCAGCTGTGGTAAAAGTAAACGACTCACTATCCAAATTTTTTTAGGATGTACAATGGACCAGAGACAGGAATGTCCCCTATCCCTGTTGCTATTTGTGATCTCCTTGGAACATTTA